TTTTTTTTTTTTTACCAGAACCCAACTCACCAGTTGGGATCATGCTCTTAGCCTCGCTCAGAACTTTTTTTTTTTTTTTTATAGAGACAGGACACATTAACTACCGTTTTGGGGCCCTTGACAAGGAGGAAGGACTGAGCAGTGGTTAGGGAAGGACAGGCTCCCAAGCAGGAGTTAGTGAACCCCTGAGAGATGGAGAGATGAGAGGGCACCCTGCAGAGGGGAAGGAGCACCCCCACCAGTGCACTTACACCTGGCACAGGGCATCCTCCCAACCCCTGTGCCTCCTGCCCTGCCCCACAGTTCCCACTCGCATTCAAGACCCATTCAAACACGGCTCCTACCACAAAGTCCTTTCCAGTATCCCAAATCCGTCTCGCTCCCCGCTTTTGAACCGCTGGAACAGGATCACTTCCTTCGCCCTGGTCTGGGTTTTGTATGGTGGTGTATTTACCTTTCCCCTACTGGTAAACCTGAGGCTCACAGTGGCCACGGCTGTGGCCTGGACCTCACTTCTCTCTGGGTTTCTCAGGGTCCTGGCACGCAGACTCTAGGTAGGACCCCTCAGCGGAGCTGACTGGGCCTGGCTCAGGTCCTCTCTCACATGAGTCTGGCCACCTTCGTCCGATTTTAAATGCCACAATCTCAATTTGATCCCATAGACAGACTCCAGAAGGATTAAAACAAGTCTGAATCATCTTCCTGCAGCTTTATTCTCTGTGTTGCTTTTATAAGCAGTAACACTTATGAAGGGTAGAACCTTATTTCTTTATGGAAAATGGCCTTGGTGATGAGTCTCGTGATGGAAGTAAAGAGAAAGCAAAGAAGCCTGAGAAAGTGATGGTCCTTAGCCAGAAGTTTAATGGGGAATGAAATAGCACAAGAGGCATTTGTAAATTCAGGGATGCCTGAAGGCCTTGGGATACAGCGGCTCAAGGGCCTTCTTGCAGGGGAGGGTTTCTCAGCCTGAGCACGGTTGACATCTGGGGCCAGGTCACTGTGTTATGGAGGCTGTCCTGGGGACTGTAGGATGTTTGACAGCATCCCTGGCCTCTCCTCACTAGATTTCAGCACCCTCCACCTCATCTCTATGTTGTGATGATCAAAAACGTCTCTAGACGTTGCCAAAGTCGGGGAGGGAAGAGGGGCAAGATTGCCACCAGCTGAGACCCACTGCTGATAGACACAACGAAATAAGCACACACCCAACAGAAACTTCAAATAAGTCTCAGTGACAGAGGCTGAACTGGAGGAGGCACAGTCCTGTTCCTTGGGACGGCTGACCTGCCCCCTGTGCTCTAGGGGGTTCAGTGCAGTGGTCTGACTGCCTCATCTCCTGTTCCAGCGGCCTCACCCACAGCCGTGCAAGAGCTGAGGGTTATGGGAATCCTTCAATGGCTTCCCCAGTGACAAGCTGCCACAGGAAACAGAGAGCAGCAGAGATGCGGAAGCAATGACCAGGATTTAAGGCTGTGAAACAGATGCTCTTTCCCTAGAAAGCAAAAGCAACGGGCTTGGGCAAGGCTGGCTGGTGAAGGCATCCTCAGCAGCTGACCCTTGTATAACACCCATCTGCTCCATCCTCTGCTTTGATCACAGCCCCCTTCAGTCCTGAGCCACTCCTGGCCCCCGTAAATGGGGAAACAGGCATACCTGCTCTAGGATCACTTATGGGGGAACGTACAGGCCTGAATCATGTTCCTGTGTCCAGAACGATCCTTGAGAGGGTCTGTCATCTGAGCCTCCTGTGCGGCTCGTCTGCCCATTGCCAATATTTTATGCAGAACAGTGCAAGCCCGGGTGAACACCCCTGATGGCCATGACAGGGAAAAGGACTCACGGCAGGGCGATACAGAGGCAAGGGGAGGCTCTGCGCTGGGAATAACCGGGTTATGGGCCGATGCACTGTCACACACCAAGTAAGTGCTCGGTGTCTGGGTCCTCCAAGGAAGCCAGAGGCTCTGCCCAGTGCTGAGCAGGGGAGTTCACAACAGCATCCTCAGCAAAGTCAGTTTCACAGTTCTCTGGGCTCAGCAGATGGCAAATCTTACACCCTTCTCCTGGTCTCACGGGGAATCAGAAACCATTCTCCCAGGATGGTAGAGTTAAGGAAGAAGGTGTGTTCTCTCCTTAAACTCTGACCACTAACTCCTGAATAATTGCACCTCATTCTTAACACCTCCCATCTTTCCCCTACATCTCTCTTCACCAGGAGGGTAAGAGGATACAAGCAGCTGTTTAGAGTGAACGCCCAGAGTCCACAAATGCCCTGAAACACAAACCTCAAACAAAACCAAACATATAGGAAATGGAGAAAAAAGATTTTAAAAAGCAGAACCCACTGAGGCTTTCAGGCCACACTGCCCAATTTTCTGTGGGCACTTGCTGACATGTGAAATGAATACTTGAACAACTGGAGACACAAGAAAAATGGCCAGATCAAAGATTAGTCCTTCCCAAACTCAGTTATAGAAACGACTCTTTTCCTCAACTCTAAGTATATAGATGCTGTGAGACAGAGGAACATCTTCTCACTGGTGACTTTTATGGACAGTGGGGACATTTTATTGCTGATACCAAGAGAAGGCTGTGAGCTGATACACAGTTACTCAGATGAGAGGGGCATGACTCAATCCATTCCAAGGTTCAAAGAGGACTTCCCTGATTAACAGCAGAGGGAAGGAGGCTCCCTTGGTGCTACACATGACTGGCACAGATGCAGCAGTAAGACCCTGGTGCAAGGAAGGCTTTTTGCCAGCTGTCTCAGAGATGCTTCCCCATCTATCACACCACAGCTCCAGGGCCTGTGGAGCTAGCAGAAACAGACCAGGGATGCCCAGGCTAGGGAAGTCAGGGCAGCTGTTTACAGTTAGGTAAGTTCTAGAAAGAGATCTCGTACCCTTAAGGCAGTGCTGCTTTTCCTGGGGATACTTGGTAGCAACATGAGTCAATCATTTGATTATTCCAGTCCCCCAGCTACTCATCCACACAAGAAGGCTCCATGGTGTAACCATGACCAATCTTATATTACACAAAGAAAATAAACTGTGTGTGTGAGTGTGTGTTGTGGGGTGGGTGGAGGGGGCGGTGATGCAGACCCAACACAGTGAGCAATCCATCACTCTAATTTTCTAATTACAGACTCCAAACTGCAACTGGAAGTCTCCGCATGCTTTCTCTGCCTCTCACACCATCCAAGACTAAGTGTTGTGCAATTTAAATTTCAGCTAAAAATCAAAGTGGTTTCAAACTGCTGAGATGAGCAAAACCCAGAGTCAACAGCTGTCAATCATTCTCCATCTGAGCAGCACAGGGAATGCTAGGGGCGCTGAGGTAAATATTATAAAGAACGAACAAGTTAATTTTGTTTTCTTGATCACTCTCTGATCAACACTGAAGAAGCCATCAAACTCTTACTACGTGTTCTGAGTCAGAACAGCAGCAACTCGGCTGCTGCCGAAGAGTTCCGGCACACTGCTTTCACCAGGGACTACAAAAGCAGCGTGCTTCTCTAGAAGCCAGCGGGCACTGACGTGGGCAAAACAGGTTTTGAAAGTAAAACTCACGTAGGGAGAATAAAGCTCCCCGGTTTCTGTGATTTCGCCCGCCATTTCCAAAAGTGAGGAGGGGTCAGTCGCAGCCGAGGTTCCTTCCGTGCGGAGGCGGCGGCTGCTGCGGCTCCCTAAGGCGAAAGAGCTGGCTTAACTTTGTGATGGCCCCGGACGCAGGCTGCAGAGCCCCAACCCCATTCCTGTCTTTTTATTAGAGACACTTAAACGGCCTCAATATATGTCACAAGACAGCCGGGAGGCAAGGGTCCCCCTGCATGACTCTCACGTGGGTGGTTTCTTCTGACTTTTTCCTTGCTGTGCAGGGCATGCATGTTTTCACTGCCGCTCAGACTCCAGCTGATTTAGGGGCCCCAGAAGCCACTAAGTCTCACTCACCATAAGCGCCCCGTTTGCACACTCTGCAGTGGCTGTCCCCATTTAATGCCAGGAAGAGTGAGCTCACGCAGGGCAGCCCAAGTAACTGTCTGTCCCTCCGCCTAGTTAAACGGGCTGCGGGTTTTCTAGGTTGCCCCTAACCTAACCCCTTTCCCCAAAGCCTTTCTTTTTTAATGGGGCTTCCACTTCCCGCCCCCCAATCTGCCTTCTGCTCAGCCTTAAGGCTTCCCACCCTCAAACCTCCTCCTCTTCTCAAGAGCCCTGCTCCGAGCCTCTCGCCGACTTCTTCCCCCCCTCCAGGAGGATCTCGGAGTTTGATGCCACCCCAGCCCATCCCACCTTCCCACGCGGCCGGACACCTGCAGCGTAGCTCGCTCCGAGCCACCGCGCCCACCGCCTCCAGCCCCTCTGCAGCGGCCGGCTCCTGCTGTCCCGAGTCAGCGCCCACAGCGCGCATGCTCCTGCGCCAGGAGCCCACCTTTTCCGCGCGCGCCTCGGGCGGGGCGCAGAGCGCTGATTGGGCGCCTCGCGGAGGCGGGACCGGGATTGAGCCCTAGCAGCTGCCGTCTGCGTGGCGGAAGTGGGCGGAGTGTGCTCCGACGCGCTGGCGGGAGGGACAGCAGCCAGCCAGCCGGTGGCGAAGCCGTGCTGGTTGTAAGAGGTGGATCTGCTCTTTTACTTGGGACGCTTTCGTCAGCAGGGAGAGAGTGTGAACTTAGCCGTTTCGGGACGCCGTAGCTGGCGGGTGGGGGCGCGGGGCGGTCGAGGAGAACAGCCTGTAGCTCCACACAGAGGGGAGGGGACTGGGAACTTAAGCCCGGCCCTAAAGTGGCCTGGTGGACTTGGCTTGCGGGATAAGAGGGAGGGGCCAGAGCCCAGTGCGTGGTTGCTGAGGAGAGGGGTTGCGCATAGGTTTAGGGCAGGGCTGAACGTTGATCCTGGGTTGGGTTTCAGGGCTAGGGAAGTGATGGGAACTTTGGGGATAATTAATGCGTGGGTCTGAGGCGTCCAGGTTTTGGGAGGGGGGATGGAAGGGACAGGTCGAAATAGCAGCTCAGGCTTAGCTCCTTGAGGTGAGAGTCAAAGGTTCTTTAAATATATTTAACCAGCCCGGTTCTCCTTGCAAGGGGTTTAGAGCCCGCCTCCGAAGTGTATGGAAAAAAAGGCCCAAGGCACTTCAACAACTTACCCGCAGGAGGCATTTAGCTACTACCCTAAGTGGGAGGGTTCTGAAGTCTGCCCTCGCACCTGCAGGCTGCTTCCATGAGATTAAATCAGAACATCCTGCTGCTGGGGAAGAAGGTGGTGCTGGTACCCTACACCTCGGAGCACGTGCCTAGGTAACCATTCCGCCTGACACAGGATGCGACTCGCTCTCCAAGGCACAGGAAGGAGGGTCAGCCTTCCTTAGCCCAAATATCGGGCTGTTTCCTCTGCGAAGGACAAATATTGGTGTGAGAAGTGATTATATACAGGCAAAAGTGAAAACGGAAGCAGCGGACTGTGACTTCCTTGGAAGAAGTTGCCCATCGCTGTTTTTCCCTTTCACCCTCTCAACTTCCCTTTTGAATTTACAGCAAGAAAATGAAATGTGTGTAAGAAAAAAAAGAAGTTTTCTCGCCCAACTGTAAATTAGTGCCAGTAAATATGCTCAGTTCTTGGAGACTTAATGTGAGCGTGTCATAAACCTGAGCTGGGCTGCTCTGATGTCTATTGATTTGAAAGCACAGGAGTGAGTCACAGGGCAGGACTTGCTGGAGCAGCTGGTGATTGTCTGGTAGACTGGGATAGTGGTGATGTAGGGGTGTATTCTCTACTTGTAGTTTTTCTTTGTGTGTATGTGTCGGGGGAGGGTGCGGTTCTTGATGCTTGGCCTTTGTGGAGATCTGTACAGCTTTGTTTACTGAGGTCAGCTCGCCATGTATTTCCCCTTAGGAATTTGAGGAACGTTTGGCTTCAGACTGCTCCCCTGCACTGACCCCTGAGACTGGATGGGAAGCTGGATGGATAGAACTGACCCCTCGTGCTGTCTTCTTGTAGGACTGGCCTGACTCTAGGCCTTGTGTTGTGGCCCTCTGCCATAGAAGCAACGATATTTCTTTAGGTCTTCTGTGAGCCCTGTGTTAGCCCTATGGGGTTCTCCTTTCTTACCATCCATTTCTTCATCTCATAGAGTGGCAGACCCATGCTTCTGAATCAGTCCTGCATGTTGAAGGCCATCTCTGTGTCCCTGCAGGTATCATGAGTGGATGAAATCAGAGGAGCTGCAGCGTTTGACAGCCTCAGAGCCGCTAAGCCTGGAGCAGGAATATGCCATGCAGCAGAGCTGGCAGGAGGATGCAGACAGTGAGAAGCAGAGGCCTGGGCTGGGCTGGTAGTGGGAGGCCTGACTCCAGAGGCAGTCTCCAGCTTCCCTCCTTTCTCACTCCCAGTTGAAGCCCTTCTGGGGCCACAGAAACTTTGTGAAAAGCGCTTTGTGCAAAGTCTGAAAGGTGCCTGAAACCCATATACTATTATGCCCACTGAAGCCTGTCCCTGTGGCTCATGCTTCTGTCTTTCCACCCACTCAATGCACCAAGCTCAGAAGTAAAGCATTTGGGGCACTGGATATAAACTGGGGCCTGTTCCTCACATCCCTTGCCACAAACTCAGTTGTGGTTATTGCTCTTTTTTGGTTCCCATGCTTTCTGAGAATACACTTGTTGTTTGGAGAAGGCTGTCTTTTCCTTCACGAGGCAGAGTTAAGGCTTTGTCGTCAGCTGAGGGAGACTGTGGGCCCCCTTGTCCCCTGACGGTCTCAGAGATGGTGGTGGTCTAGAGGCCTCTAGTTTGGGGAGAAAACTGTCCTCACCTCACCCCTCCTGGGAGTACAGGCAGTAACCTCGGCCCCTCCCTCCCTAGAGTGCACCTTCATTGTGCTGGATGCTGAGAAGTGGCGGGCCCAGCCAGGCCCCCCTGAGGAGAGCTGCATGGCAGGAGATGTGAACCTCTTCCTCACAGACCTAGGGGACCCTTCCCTGGGGGAGATCGAGGTCATGATTGCAGGTTTGTTCTGCCTGACCCCGCCTGCCTTCCCTCCTAGCCTTTGGTTCTGCTGAACCTTAAGGCAGCCGGGGCTGCCCGGGGCAATCAGAGAGCTCGATGGGAGGCTCTGTGTTGGTGAGCCCAGCACCTGGCCTGGGCAGACTGCCCGTCAGCCTGGTGCTTCATCCTTGCTGGTTCACTTTATTCCTGTCTTATACTTAGATGTGTGCTTAACCTTTGGTTTGGGGGTCTTTACATTTGAGCCTTCCCCACTGTTGGGAGGGGGCTGGGAGCCCTCCAAAAAATATATGATCTCCCCTGGAGCCTCTTCCTATGCTCTGGGAAGAGCCTCTCCAGTTTCTGTGTCCTTGATCCACAGCCTTCCCCTAAGGGGCTGCTGCCTCTCCTATTGAGGCAGCACACTCAGGTTAAGGCGTCAACTCTGGGGCAGGTTGCTGGGGGTCCCCAAGCTGGGAACTGTTGGGAGAGTCCTTGAACTTCTCTGGGCCTCTGTTTACATGTCTGCAGAATGGTAATCATAGTTCCAACTTCATAGAGTTGTGGGGACTGAATGAGGTCCTGTCTGTCAAGTGCCTGCCCTGGAGCCCAGCACGTGGTGCCAGTGACTGCCGTTGTCTCTCCTAGAGCCCAACTGCAGGGGCAGAGGCTTTGGCACGGAGGCCGTTCTCATGATGATGTCTTATGGTAAGGGAGTCTGAGCAGAAAAGTGGGGAGAAGTGGCCAGGCCCCAGGTGAGGCCTAGGGGTTGGGAGTGGGCCTTCTTCAGGCCTGAGTGTGGGTGTGGGTGACAGGTACCCACAGCCTTCCCCTAAGGGGCTGTGGACATGAGGACAGGAGGGGTGGGTGCTGGGTTTGGGGGGACTTCATCCTGCAGCTTGTCCCTCTCTCTCATCTCTGGGAGGAGTGACCAAGCTGGGTCTGACCAAGTTTGAGGCTAAAATTGGGCAAAGAAATGAACCAAGCATCCGGATGTTCCAAAAGCTTCACTTTAAGCAGGTAAGGACGTCTGTGGCTTGGGGCCAGGTATGCCAGCACTTGTGGCTGTTAACTCAGCAGGCTGCTCTCTGGCTCACGCAGGTGGCTGTGAGCAGCATCTTCCAGGAGGTGACACTGAGACTGACAGTGAGCCGGCTGGAGCGGCAATGGCTCCTGGAGCAGACCAGCTACATGGAAGAGAGGCCCTACAGGGATGGGTCATCGGAGCCCCACTGTGTCAGTGGCTCCACAAGGCCAGAGCCCTGCACCGGGCTGTGAACCGATGGGCTTGGGTGCGGAGTGCTCCTGGCCTCCCGCAGGCTGGCAGCGTGGCTGAGTGACTCCAGGGCCCACCCGGACTCAGGCTCTCGGACCCTGGAGTGAACAACACAAATCCGTGGGAGGACAGATGCAGGGTGGAGGGGGGAGCTGGAGGCAAAGTGGACCCTGGTGGATGGGCAGGATCTCCCTTCCCCTGAAGGTCAGAGGCACCGCCCTGGGGCTGAGGCCTGGCCTGGAGTAAAGTGGTCATGCAGCTTTCTCTGTTTCTTCACTGGGCCTGAGTGAAAATGAGCTCCCAGGACTGCAGCCCGCAGCATCCAGCCCAACATGGTAGGAAAGGGGCAGGGGCAGCTCATGACCATTTGGTCTTGCAGAAGCAGGCTGGGTGTGAGCCTGGGCTTGGGAATGAATGAGCTGGGCCCTGGAAGGACAGATAGGAGGTTTAGAGAGAGGGCAAGTGTCCTTCCTCTTCTCCCCTTTGGAGTGTTTAGGAACGAGTTTTGGATACAGCTCCTTGTGCCTAGAGCACCCTTCTTTTGATGAAACCTGGAGCCTGCTGCTCAGTTGCAAGAGGTGCAGGAGGAATTGGAGGCCACTCAGTGGTACCCTTCTGAAGGTACTGTGGCCTCGCACTGGCCACTCCTCACCCTTCAGCCTCTGTAGCAGCTGCACCTGACGAGCCCACCAGGGGGCGCTGGAGGCACAGGTTTGGAATAGCCAGGCTGCCTGGCAACTGGTGCTAGGGAGCAGCAGAGCTGGGCCTGTCTCCCCATCTCAGAACAAGGCGGGTAACCTTTGGCTCCTAACTGTCCTCCATCATAACTGGGGGACTGAGAAGAAAGGCCAGGCATGTTTCAAACAGTTGAGGAAGACTCCTGAGGACACTTCAGGCACTCTGAGGAGGAAACAGCCCCAGGAGAGGGGACCTGCTGGAGGACTAGCGTCTGATGGCAGAGCCACAGTGATTGCTGAGGTCTCCTGGCAACCAGCCCCGTCCAGCCTGGCATCTCACACCAGACTAAGCACATGGAAAACTAGAATAGAAGACACACCTGGGACAACAAGCTTTGCTTGCTGGGGCCTCTCAGCCATGAGTTACCTCTGAGCCACTGTTTCTCCCATCTGCCTTCAGGGCTTCCCCACCCAGTAGGTGAGGGTAGGGA